CTTGACAAATGATTTGAATGTTGAAAACACATCACTTTTGTCCACTAGAAAGAATACCCAAGTGTATCTAGTATAATCATCCACTAACACAAAGCCATATTTGTTACCACCAATGCTAGTGTATTGTGTTGGCCCAAACAAGTCCATGTGCAATAGATCAAATGCTTTACTAGTGCTCATCATGCTTTTCTTAGGATGGGTGTTTCCAACTTGTTTGCTGGCTTGACAAGAAGTACAAAGTTTATCCTTCTCAAACACAACATCTTTCAAGCCTCTAACCAAATCATGCTTAACCAATCTATTCAATTGTTTCATTCCAACATGACCAAGCCTTCTATGCCATAACCAACCCATGCTAGACTTAGTGAACAAGCATGTAGATAATCTAGCTTCAGTAGCATTGAAATCAACCAAGTATAGATTCTCATATCTAAAGCCTTTGAAGATCAAGTTAGAGCCATCTACACTTATGATCTCTACATCATCTACCCCAAATATGCATTTGAATCCAAGATCACATAATTGAGCCACGGATAGCAAATTAAAGTTCAAGCTCTCTACTAGCAATACATTGGATATGCTTATGTCATTGGATATTGCAATCTTACCAAGCCCTTTGACCTTGCCTTTGCCATTGTCACCAAATGTGATACTATCATAACCATCATTGCCATTGGTGTTGATTGAGTTGAACATTCTTGCATCACCGGTCATGTGTTGAGTGCACCCACTATCAAGAACCCAATGCCTTCCTCTGACTTTGTAATTGACCTACAAAAGAAGATCAATTCTTTTTAGGTACCCAAACTTACTTGGGTCCTTGAAGGTTAGTCACTAAGCTCTTTGGTACCCAAATGGCTTTCTTCTTTGAGCCCATCTATGGTTTACCAATGAGCTTAGCCTTCACACCATTTGTACCCTTAGTAAGCACATAGAAAGAATCAATCTTAATTGAGGATACATTAGCATTTTTGCTCTTGTTCTTGCACTAATGCTCTTTATGATCAACTTGCTTGTAACTAGTGCAAAACCGACCATTGTTCTTCACAAAACTAGTGTTGTGAGGAGCAAAGACCGTCTTGTCTTTCTTGGGGGTATAGCATAATCCCTCTTTATAAAGAGAAGCTCTTTGGCTACCCAAGCGCATAAGCAAGCGGTCCTCACCACCATAGGCCTTAGCCAAGGTGTGAGTGAACTTATTGACCTCCTTCTTGAGGTTCTCATTTTCAACTATTAGCGAGGCATCACAAGTGAAACCATCACTACTAGATGAGGTGGAAGTAGAAGTACTATAAGAAGGGTTAGTGGGAGCAACAATGATAGGCATAGATAATGATTCATCAATTATATCACAAGTTAAGCCTATATTGCAAGTTTCAACATGCTTCTTTTTATTTTGCTCATCAAGCAAAGAGGAATGAGCCTTTTCAAGCTTTTTGTGAGCCTTGCCAAGCTTCTCATGGGCTTCCTCTAGCCTCTCATGAGTTGCTTTGAGCTCATCAAGGGCTTGCTTAACGGCTTTTACCTCCTTATTCAAGCTCTTGCATTCCCTTCTTTTAATGTCAAAGTGTTCTTTAGCATCTTCTAGCATGTCATATAATTCATCTTTAGTAGGTTCATCATCATCACTATCACTATCATTTTTATTATCATGTTCATCATCACTTCCATCATCATAAGTTTGTACCTTAGTGGCCTTAGCCATGAAGCATGATGGGGTGTCGAAGAGAGAAGGCTTCTCATTGATAGCAATGCTTGCAAGTGCCTTCTTCTTGGTGGTCTTGTCATCATCACTATCATCATCATCACTTGAGGAAGCATCACTATCCCAAGTGACCACATATGAACCACCCTTCTTCTTGAAGGTCATCTTGTCCTTCTTGTCTTTCTTTTCCTTCTTGTCTTCTTGTTCTTCTTGTTGTTGTCATCATTGTCGTTATTGTATGGACATTGAGCAACAAGATGATCTTTGCTTCCACATTTGAAGCACCTTCTTGACACTTCCTTGTTCTTAGATGAAGATTTCTTTCTTCTAGCTTGGTACCCTTTCTTCATCATGAACTTGCCAAATTTCTTGACAAAGAGAGACATCTTCTCATCATCATCATCATCCCATGAGCCATCATCTTCACTTGATGTATCTTGCTTTGCCTTGCCCTTGGATAATGTGGCCTTGAATGCCATGCTCTTCTTCTTCTCATGCTTCTTCTCATCTTTTTTCTCCTTCTTTTCTTCCTTCTCCTCATCATCTCTATATGTATCATCGGTCATTATATCTCCCAACACTTGGTTTGGTGTCATGGTGTCCAAACCACTCCTCACTAGAATAGTGACCAATGTGCCAAATCTTGATGGTAAGCATCTCAAGAACTTGTGGGAGAAGTCCTTGTCCTTCACCTCTTCTCCAAGTGCTTTGAGATCATTGACAAGCACTTGAAGCCTATGGAACATCTCTAGCACACTCTCATCCTCCTTCATCTTGAAGCTTGCAAACTTCTCTTTGAGAATGTATGCCTTTGCACCCTTCATGGCTTGAGTGCCCTCAAATGATTCTTCCAACTTCTTACAAGCCTCATGAGCCATCTCAATATTCTTGATTTGCTCAAATGTCATCTCATCAATTGCATCATGAATAGCACTTAGAGCAATGTCATTGTTTTGGAGAAGCACTTCTTCGGCTGTGGTGGGATTCTCTAGATCACCAATCTCAATTTGATTTCTACCACCTTTTACACTTTTCTATTGATTGACTTGATATGTGTGGTCATCTTTGATTTCCAATATGGATAATTTGTGCCATCAAATTGTGGTGGCTTCTTGGTGTTGTTGATTTGAGCCATTTTTACACCGAAGGTTGTTAAGCCTCAAATCAGGGTGACCTCGGCTCTGATACCACTTGAAAGGTCCTAATGGCTAGAGGGGGGTGAATAGCCTAATAAAAATTTCTACAACAACACTTAGCAAACCGGTTAGACAATTATGAAGCGAAGCAAGTGTTGCGCTAGCCTACCAAGAATGCAAGCCACCTACCACAATTCTAGTTGATATAGTTTCTATCCACACAATAGCTATATCACTACACTAAGTTAGTGTGCTCTCAAAGGCTAACTAAAGAGCCACACTAACCAAACTAACAAGCTCTCACAACTAGCTACACTAAAGAGCTTGACAACTAGTTTGTGGTAATGTAAAGAGAGTGAGCAAGATAGTTATACCGCCGTGTCGAGGAGTCATCCAATCAATCACAAGAATCAATATCAATGAAGACCAATCACCTCGGAATCAAATGATGAACACAATAATTTTTACCGAGGTTCACTTGCTTGCCGGCCAGCTACTCCTCTTTGTGACGATTCACTCACTTGGTGATTCACGCGCTAATTGGCATCACACACCAAACCCTCAATAGGGTGCCGCACAACCAACACAAGATGAGGATCACACAAGCCACGAGCAATTCACTAGAGTACCTTTTGGCTCTCCACCGGGGAAAGGTCAAGAACCCCTCACAATCACCACGATCGGAGCAGGAGACAATCACCAACCTCCGCTCGATGATCCTCGCTGCTCCAAGCCATCTAGGTGGCGGCAACCACCAAGAGTAACAAGCGAATCCCGCAGCGAAACACGAACACCAAGTGCCTCTAGATGCAAACACTTAAGCAATGCACTTGGATTCACTCCCAGTCTCACAAAGATGATGAATCTATGATGGAGATGAGTGGGAGGGCTTTGGCTAAGCTCACAAGGTTGCTATGTCAATGCAAATGGCCAAGAGGAGTGAGCTTGAGCTGGCCATGGGGCTTAAATAGAAGCCCCCATGAAATAGAGCCGTTGTACCCCTTCACTGGGCACAACACGGGGTGACCGGACGCTCCAGTCATATTGACCAGACGCTAGACCTCAGCGTCCGGTCACGCGATGCGTGCCACGTGTTCTCTCTCTTCAAATGTTGATCGCCCGATCTCAACGGTCAAGAGATGACCGGACACAGTAGCTCAAAGTGACCGGACGCTGAACCCCAGCGTCCGGTCGTTTCCAGTAAGCATCCAGAGATGACTTTTCACGACCGGACGCGTCCGATCATGCTCCACCGAACACACCCAGCGTCTGGTCATACGGCGACTCCCCTATGCGCTGCCACGTCAGCATGACCGGACGTAGCCCTTCAGCGTCTAGTTACTAAGTGACCCAGCGTCCGGTCACAGACCGACGCCAGTGTCTTCATGCTCCACCTGACCGGACGCGCCGGTCCTAACGAGACCAGCGTCCGGTCACTTACAGTGACCTCCGTCTTTTCTGTCTAGGGCGCCGGTAAAGTTCCTAACCCTTGCTCAAATGTGCCAACCACCAAGTGTATCACCTTGTTCACATGTGTTAGCATATTTTCACAAACATTCTCAAGGGTGTTAGCACTCCACTAGATCCTAAATGCATATGCAATGAGTTAGAGCATCTAGTGACACTTTAATAACCACATTCCGATACAAGTTTCACCCCTCTTAATAGTACGGCTATCGATCCTAAATGTAATCACACTCGCTAAGTGTCTCAATCACCAAAACAAAATGGTTCCTACCATTTATACATTTGCCTTGAGCCTTTTGTTTTTCTCTTTCTTCTTTTCAAGTTCAAGCACGTGATCATCACCATGGTGTTACCATCATCATGTCATGATCTTCATTTGCTTCACCAATTGGAGTGTGCTACCTATATCATGATCCATTGATAAAGTAGGTTAGCACTTAGAGTTCCATTAATTCACCAAAACCAAACTAGAGCTTTCATCACCAAAGTAAAGAAAGTTAGACTAAAACTTGCCTGCACACCACCAGAACCAGCAACCCATCTTCTAGAAAGTGTAGTAGCTCGTAATCTCATCTGCCCCTCATGATGCTGGTAACTGCATGCAATGCAACACCTCAAGTCAGTCACGTACCATTCTTTGACTGTATTGGCTTTTTTTGCCTGAAAATGAAGGGGCACAGACAGATCCCCTACTAGGTTAAGAATTGGAAGTACAACTGATTGCTTGCTGATTGACCAACACCAACCGAATCTGGTCCATCCTTCTTTGCAATATCAAATACTAAACAGAGTGGTGTTTTCCTGTCTAGACCACACATCTTCCATGCGTTAGTGTTTCCCTGACCTACAACTGTATCTGAGGATAGAGGACTTTTCTGCACATAAAAAGATCAGATTTAGAGTGTTATTCCAAAAAAAATGACAACATGTAACTGATACACACTATACCTTCTCCAGGGAAGTACAAGGTCCAATAATTCCTTGGATTTTGACATCCTTTGAGCAGTTAATCTCAAAGATACCACTGCAAATATAATTTTATACACGTCAATCAGAACACTCAAATTATTGATGGGCTAAGACATGTTATTAATTACTGTAAAGAGTATTTACTTGAATGATAAATCAAGATCATTGTCACTTGACTGAAAGAAGCGTCGAAGTGAGTCTTTAAAAACAGAATGACCAAAACTTTCTGCAAGCACAACTATTCCACCAGTTCTCTCCACAGCAACCTTCATCTCAGCAACACCAACCTGAGAGATTACTAACTACTGGTAGTTTGTTCATTACCCTATTTCAAATGACAAATCATTTGGCTATTTTTGTCGTAGAAACTAGCAACTACTATTATACAAAGGACAAATCTTTATCAACAAATTTAGCAACTAATTACTTGGTAGCTGAATGTTCAAACCAATTACAACATCAGAAAAAAATATGTAAGTTACTTCACCAAATTGGTTGAAGCATCACGAGCCTAAAGTTTCAGTTGATTGGTCATTATATTCATATAGTGGCTTGGTGAGACAAAAAAATGCTTGTGCAATATAAGTCCGTAAATTATTGCATATCAATTTTTCTTTAATTTCTAACTAAACAACCAAAACCAAGCAAACAAAACTAAATTTTCATAAAAAATTAAAAAGAACAGAAAAGAAGGCAACAAACCTGGTCAAGCGCACAAGCAAATAAATCAAGTACATGGCCTTGATTCACAAGCTGCTTAGAGATATCCTCGTAGAATTTAACAGCTTTGTTATAAAGTGGAGTTGAACCTTTATCGAGGTCTTTGTGCGAGCGAATTGGTTCTGATAGGGACTTGGATACGATCTGAAATTTGCAAAATAATATCATTATAGTACATTAGAAAGCATAAGAGCAAGAAATGAGTGATTGCAATTTTTTAAGAAAAGCCATGATATTTGAGACAATCAGACTCTCAATGATAAACAATATTCAAGGGGGAATTAATGTCATGTACATGCTCGTGCCTACATTTCCCTGATGGCATATCACTAATTTGCATGTAGTGAGTTATAGAAGTGAAAAGAAAGAAAGCTAAAATGGTATTCAACTTTATTTGGAAACCAACCGTGCTATATTGATCAAATATAAGCAGAATAGACAAAACTGGTTTGTCTGATTTTCATATTGCATATAAAATTGGGAATTGGAGAGGTTTATTATACTTCCATTACAGATAAGAAGCACAAAACTATATCCAGAACAGCAGAACATAGATCAAGGTACCAAATTCACAAAATTTCCATCAAATGAATCTGAACTCTAAATATGCACAGCCCTGTAACAGCGTAGTTGTAATAAAGTTTCTTAAAATTAATCCAGTCAATTTTGGTCATTGCATGAGGTTTTCATACAACTAGACTAGTCATGTAGGGCCAAACCCAATCTGTTAGCCAGTACCAATCCAATTGGGATATGGTGTTACAAGTAGTTCCACAGCATATTAAACGGAAAAGAAAAAACACATTATTACTTACAAAAGGAGAGTAGAGATAGGTTTTGTAACTGTAGGAGAATGATTATAAACACCACCAACTATAGAAAATGCAACTGCTACTGTTACACGCCAGCAGTATCACAGGTACCATAGCAGTAGCAGCAGGCCTATGTGGCAAGGTCACAAGGATTTGGAAGACACCTTTTTCATGGTTAAGATTATAGCTTTCCTGTTGCCAAAAAGATTATAGCTTTTCCATATTCGATAATAGCTAATGAGTGTCCTAGGATACCTGCTTGGTATCTTATCTATATTATAGAATGATTTATCAGTATCTGTTAGATGAGCCTCTATACAAGGAATCCTATGCCACTGTGTGATTAAGCAAGAAGAAACAGTGATTCCGATCTTAGCTTTCTCCCTTCCCCCTGGGAGTGCCAACATGACCTGGCCATCCTAACATCTACATTTATAGCATCAGTGTAGATAAAGAAAATGGGAATGAAGCTAAAGAACATGTTAAGAAAAGGAACTGACTTACAGAACCAGGTCCCTCTGTAGATGGACCACCTACAAATGCCATAATTCTAGCACCTGATCCAGGAACACAAACCCCCAAGAGACTAGCAGCAACACTTAATGCAACTCCAGTATACCTTGATGAACCTTTATCAGCTGGAACAGGCCAAAGGTCCTTTTGCAGTTCTTCAATTACCTACAGAAAAAGGAAAACAGTGTCAACAGCGTAATGATGGAAAAGAATTTTAGTATGCCACTTGAGAGTCATAATTTTAGTGTTCCACATTTTGATGTGCTACAGAACTTTGCCAACTCCCTGACCAATGTATCATGGTTTTATAATCAAGCAGAGCTCTTAACTGAATTCAACACAAACTCGCACTCAGAAGCAGGCAACAGGAACCTAGCAATACTCTCTGCTGAGAGGCCATTCCTTGCGCCTGCGATCACACCTGTTGTGGGTTTAGTTTTCCCAGCAAAGAAACTCATTTGGTCCAGAATTTGCTCCTTTGTAACTTCTTTTGTCCCTTTGAACACATATGACTTTGGCAACAAGCCAAAACCCAATTCATGCACCTACATAAATTAAATCTCTGTATTACTTGTTGACCAGTGCATTCAGCAATGGAGTATCAATATGAGAGATGATAATGACCTGAACATATGTCCCGAAAGTAATAAATCCAACAAGGGATGGATCTGGCAATAGTTCAATTGCTTGTGCTAAAGCAGACTTCAAATAGCCAATCTCCTCCTCAATCATACATGTATCAACAACAAAGAGGAAGACTGGAGGAGCCACAGGACCCGTTTCAGAAGTGGATTTGTACTCAACGGTGGTATATTGAGGAATCAGCTCAGCAGGGAGGTTGTTTTCTGAAATAGAGTTGTAATGTTGTGGGAAATGGTTGCGCTGAAAGCAGAACGGACAGACCCAAATCTTTGCAACAAAATCAACAACTGAGAAAGGGTTGAGAATCGAACGGCACATGCGACAACGGAGAGGGGCATAAGGAAGAACAGGAATGGAAGGATTTGGCTTTAGAGGAGTATAAATGGCAGAAACAGGAACCACACAGTTAGTAGCATCCTGCTTTGTGCCTGGTATAACATTCCATGTCATTCTTATCCCATCCTGGGTCTCAAGGTCCAGAAACTCAGACATTTTCTGTAATCAAGTGGCTATAGCGATAATTTCTTCAACAGAACCTCTGATTCACAAGACTGCAGGCCTCTGCCAGCAGGAAACTCTCCAGCCTGTAATGTAACAGCCAATTCAACATTGGGTTAAATTGGAGAAAGGCAACACAACAGAAAAAACAGAAGAAAATTGATATAAACAAATCAAATTAACTGGCATATAGACTACTGATTTACTGGCAGTATAGTCATTGCGAGCTTCTGAATTTTAAAACAACTGAAGCACCCACTGCATGTTAAGATTAATGATGGAAGTGGTTCTACAATGAGTGTCAACTATTCCTGAACAAAAAAAAAATCCTGAACAGAATGTAAACCTTAGTCTATGAGAGATCCCTTTTAAAAATTTATATTACTATAAACAACAGTATTCAGAGCTGATAAGTGGAGGTCTCTATGAAGCCATCACCACCTAAGGCTGTTTCCAACAACCGTTTCCCAAAATACAAGACCCATTTCACGTTTGGATATCGCTACAGGCAAAGGGTTCAATACCCATTTTTTGTCTTCTTCAACAACAAGACTCAAAAGAGAACCCTTTCTGCAAATATGTCTCCCGAAGAGAGGATACTCGGATTTAGGTTATACCTCTCCTGACATTCAAAATGGGTCTTCCATATAGGTACTCTGTTGGAGGCTGTAGGTATTGTGTTGGAGACCTATTTTGGGTTTGGATCTCCTCATGGGTCTCCTGTTGGAGACATCCTAACGAGAAGGTTGATCATGCATATATCATAAGGAATATATGTTGAGTCCCCCCCACAATTTATATATAAAAAAAGATACATCAACTGAGAAATAACTGAATTGTAGTATACTACAGTCTACAACAGAGCAGACCAGCTCGCAGAAGGTTGGATGGATTGGAGCACCAATCCCAACAAGTAACTGAATTTGATTGCTCACAGCAATTTCCTCGCAGACCAAAACGCAAATCTCAGACACTGATTCAAGCAAGCTAGGGCTTACTTACCACCAGAAGACGAAATCAACCCACACCCATATGGATCTCCACTCCAACGAAGAGAACTGAGCGAACTCCACGGAAGCGCTGATGTAGTTCGCTTCGGTGGATTGGAAGAGGGGTTTGGGGGGGTTCGGAGGTGGTGTGAGGCTGGGGACTTGGGTGGGAGGCGTCGAGTGGACTCCCGCCGCCGCCGCAAGGGGAACGGATGGAGGGGGAGCCGGCAAGAAGCACTGAAGCAGACAGGGACGGCGATCGGTAGCCTCTGTAGTCTGGAGCCCTCTGCTCACCGAGGGGGAGAGAAGTACCGAAAGTTTTGCCGACAATGAGGAGTTGCAATTGCAAACGGGGAGAGAATTCATGACTTCTGAGTTCTCTTCGAAAAATTTCAATATTTAACGTGAGTTCGCAAGCCTAGCAAGATTTGATATTCAATTCGTCTGTCTTCTAAAATTTGACATCGTGACTGCTAATTGCTTCAATGGATTTTAACCATTTTCTCTTCTTTTTCTTTTTCCATAATGTTTTCACCTCTCCCAGCCACATGAACGGACCAAAGTACCCCTGGCCTAATAGAACACAGAGATCGGTTTCCTTCTCTATTTTCGTCGCGACTCGTCTCGTGAGCGAGACGGATGCATGGCCGCCCGTCTGCCGCCCATCCACAAGACGGGGAGCCCCGTCCGCCGGTGAGGAGCCCTCCGCCTGTCTGCCGCCCTTCCTCCTTGAAAGCATCTAGGCCCCTACTTGGGTTTCGGTGATTAATGACAATACGTGATTACTGTGACTAATGTGTGTTTTGTAGAAGCAATTAAGTTAGGTCATGGTAATAGCAATTGATTGGGCAATCATGGTTGTCATGCCCCTATGATGGAAATTGTTTCGGTTTTCAAAGGATGGTCGACAAGGTTAAGGATGGACTAGTTCTAAGTGTCGTTTGGTGTTGAAGAAATACTTAGAGTAGTTTAGGACTTTGTTTTTCCTTTGGCCGTACTATTAAGGGGGGTATGAACTAGTAGCTTGACCTAGGTGAGTCTAGTGGGTTAGGTGTGGTGCACACTTGTCAAATCTAGCACTAGGTAGCTCCTAAATAGCCCAAAGATCAATTGGAGCAAACTTCATTCACATATGTTTGCGAGTTGGAAGTGAATGGAGGGTCAAATGTTGACCGGATGCTGGTTCCGGTGTGACCGGGCGCTGGCGTAGAGTCCGGTCAGTTCATTTGATCAAGGTGAAGTCGTCTGGTTGCGACCGAACGCTGGGTGCCAGAGTCTGGTCAACATCAGTAAGGTTCCAGAGAGCAGTTTTTGTGATCCAACGCGTCCGATCAATGCTGACTAGACGTAGATCAGAGTCCGGTCACAACTTAATGGCTCAGTGACGGGGAGAACTGACCGGAGCGTCCGGTCAACTTGACCGGAGTGTCCGGTCTCCCCGCAGAGGCACATAACGGTTCGTTTTGAATGAGAGGTTATAAATACTTCCTCTATTCATTCAAGGGGGTACTCTTGCCCATTTCAACAGCTAAGAAACACCCTTGAAAGTGCCAAGGAGAGCAAGAGCCTAGTGAGGTGATTGAGATTTGAGAATCCAAGATTAAGCCCTCATTAGTGAAAAGAGAGTAGCAAGTGTGCATCCATCCTTCTCATTAGACTTGTTGTGGTCAAGTGAGAGTTCTTGCTTGTTACTCTTGGTGATCGTCATCACCTAGACGGCTTGGTGGTGATTGGGAGTTTGGTGATCATCCGGCAGAGCTTGTGGATGACCCAACTCAAGTTGTGAGCGGTTGTGCGTGATTCACCACGACGGAGTGTCGAAGAATCAACCCGTAGAGAGCACTTGATCCTTGCGCGGATCAAGGGGGAGCTACACCCTTGCACGGGTGCTCCAACGAGGACTAGTGGGGAGTGGCGACTCTCCGATACCTCGGCAAAACATTGCCGCATTCCTTCTCCTATCTTTACCTTAAGCATTTACATTTGAGCAATTCAATTCTTGTCTTTACATTACTAGAATTGTCGTGCTAGAGTAGGATTAGAACATAGGTTGCTAAACTTTTGTGCGGTAGAACAATAGGAACACTTTCTAGACACAAGGGGTGAAGTGGACTAACCGTAGGGTCTAATTATTGCAAAAAATTTTAGAATTAGCCCAATTCACCCCCCCTTCTTGGGCATCTTGATCCTTTCAATTGGTATCAAAGCCTTGTGCTCACATATTTAGGCTTAACCGCCTAGTGAAAGATGTCTCACGGAGATGGACCTCCTCCTATCTTTGAGGGAGATGATTTTCCTTATTGGAAAATCCGCATGGAGGCGTATTTAGAGGCTCTAGATGTTGGAATTCTTCGAGCCGCCTCTCAAGGTTTCCCAAAACCTAGGGATCCCATGCACCTTCAAGGCAATGAAGTGAATTACGAAAAATGAAATGCAAAGGCTAGAAACACCATCTTTAGAGGTCTTTGCAAAGATGTGTTTAACCGGGTGAGGAACCACAAGGACGCCCATGCACTATGGTCGGATATTTGTGCGCTCCATGAGGGAACTAAGAGCGAGCGTGAGGAACGCTATCATCTTGTGATGAAAAAGCTTAATTCTTTTGAGATGCTTCTAAAAGAAAGCGCTAATGAAATGTACTCATGTTTGAATGTTCTTGTAGAGGAAGTCAATGGGCTTGGACTTACTCAAATGCAACCATCCGATGTTGTAAGAAAAATCTTGAGTGTCCTCCCCATTGATAAATATGGGCATATTGTGACCGTGCTTCATCAAGGTGATCTTTCCACCGCTACACCAACTCAAATCTTGGGAAAGATCAACGCTCATGAGATGTACATGCACATCACACCACAAGATGGATCATCCTCTACCAAGAAGAAAGACAAAGACTTGGCATTCAAGGCTAGCCAAGAGAAGGGCAAAGCAAGAATTGAGTATGAGAGCTCAAGTGATGATGAAGTTGATGATGCAAGTCTTGCTCTCATGGTGAGAAGAACCGCCAAGATGCTAAAGAAGCTCAACAAGAATGGCGTCAAGTTTGATGGCAAGAAAAAGAAGTTCTTCACTAGCACTAGAAGGAAGCCAATCTCCGAGATGGATTGCTACAATTATGGAGAACTTGGTCATCTAGCTCATCAATGCACCAAGCCCAAGAAAGACAAGTACAAGAAGAAGTACAAGGGCAAGAAAGATGACTCAAGTGATGAAGATAATGATGAGAAGAAGAAAAACAAGCCATACAAGAAGAAAGATGGCAAGAAGAAGGACTTCCACAAGAAGAAGAAAAATGGAAAGGCATACATCATCGGTGATTGGCTCACGGACATTGACTCATCAAGTTGCTCATCCGATGATGATAGTGAGAACGAGAAGGTGGCCGCTATTGTGATTGACTCTTCATCATCTTCACCGACACCACCGCCATCATCCTCTACACACCTATGCCTTATGGCCAAGGGTGAACGAAAGGTATCAAATGATGATGATAGTAGTGGTGATGATCATGCTAACAATGATGATAGTGATAGTGATAGTGATAGTGATGATGATGAATTTGAATCACCTTGATATGATGATCTTGTTAAATTGTTAAATCAATACACTAGGATTATCAGAAAGTCAAGAGGTAAGAATGAAAAGCTAGAACTTAAGAATGACTCTCTTTTAGCTCAATGTGACATAGCGGAAAAGGCTAGTGTTAAGCTTAGAGAAGCAAATGATGTTATGTCATCCAAACTCAAGGAGCTCAAATCTTCTAAGAAATAGCTTAAAGATAAACATGATAAACTTGAGGGGATACATAATGAGCTCATCACTAACTACAAAATGCTAAAAGATGAATATACAAATCTCAAGATCAATCATGATAATCTTGTTACCTCTCATGAGTATTTATCCAATGAGCCACATGATGCTACTAACGATGTTGTTAAGATTGATATAGCTACATTATGTGATGATTTGATTATTGAGAGGATTGAGCAAGGTTCTAGTAGCAAAGGC